ACTCTTATTTTATTCTGAGCTATAATATACTGTCTCTTAAAATCCACTAATTGTAGTTTAGGTGTTGGTTCTGGACTATTTTGCCAGTTGATATAAACTTGAATAACCTCATCAGCTGATATTTGACCATTATTATAAACATCTACTGATCCCTCTACATCATTGCCTGCTAATATTGACTGACTAAATTGTAGATTAGAGTAGGTAAAACTTGTATAAGATAAACCATAACCATAGGGATATAGTGGATCATAGTTAATATATCGATATGTTCTACCTTCCATAGAATAATTTACCATGGGCGGTATCTGAAAAACATTCAAACATTAAGGTCCCAGTACGTCAAGACATGCAAAAATAAAACTAAATACAGTACGTTATGTCATGTGCCATATGTACGGAATTCTACCGACAGGAACAGAATTGGAAACATTCATTGTGAGAACAAGAAGTGTTATCATTTTTTATAAGAAATGGGGTTTGTCTTGCAATCGATATCTTCAACAATCTAAACATTGAAGCAGGAATGTAAGCTTTCCTCCAATACCGCAATCATTCATATTAGACTTAAGGTGTATTTATAGGCGTGTAATGAATTATTCTAAATTAATATACATATTATTGCTGACTGTATGCAGAACCTCAATAACTACAAAATGTTTAGCAATGTGTTGTTGTGTTTATATTTTTAAAGAAAGCAAAACAGAATAACAGAAATGAGGCCATATCTTACTTGATTTTCATTCATTGGCCATGTACACGGGAGTCTGCCAGCAGGCACAGAATTTGGACCAGTCATGGTAAGAACATTAAATAAAGCTTCTCCTGTAGCTTGAGAAGGGTAAAAAGCTTCTACGATAGCAACAACCCTAGGATTACTATCAGCCCATGTTATATCAACCGGTCCGGCATTAAACATGATAAGTAGAACAGGTGTATTAGCTGGACCTAGAAATATAAACAACTCTAGGATTACTATCAGCCCATGTTATATCAACCGGTCCAGCATTAAACATGATAAGTAGAACAGGTGTTTTAGCTGGACCTAGAAATATAAACAAAACAATTCTCAAGTTACTAATTATCATTATATATCAACATAATACTATAGCATTATAGCATGGCCAAGATATATAACGAACTATAGGATATGTTATATTAAAATTGTTCTGTCAATGAATCTGATATAACATATCTGGCAGAACTCCCTGGCATAGTATACAAACCTCAAGTTTTGTTTCGTTAACAAGTCCCCATTAATCACATCAACGCGACTTTCAGTTTCCGCAAACTTAGAACGCTACTTACTATTATTAACAGCATCTTGAAGTAGTTCTAACTGTTTTCCAGGTAAAGCTATATTGGGTCGATCATAATATTCCTTTTCTATGGCATTTCCTAAATTGATGAAAAATAAAAAGAGTTGAGAAGGTAAAGGCATTTATGTAACAATTGGAATTTATATTTCAGACTACGTAGATATGGCATTCCATTTAAATAACAGACAATTTTTTTAACTTATCAATCTTAAAATAACTTAATAATAACAATGTTTTGCAAAAAATTCTATGTTGCTATATATTTTGTATTTGGTGCAATATTTATACCTAATCCTAAGCATACGATGACCAGATCCACTTCGTGAACAGCTTTTATTATACCAGCTTGGTCGTAATCTATACAAGTTGTATTTCCACTACATCCATTATTGTACTGAACAGTGTTTCCTAATCTAGAGAGGTTCAGTCTATGTTGCTATATATTTTGTATTTGGTGCAATATTTATACCTAATCCTAAGCATACGATGACCAGATCCACTTCGTGAACAGCTTTTATTATACCAGCTTGGTCGTAATCTATACAAGTTGTATTTCCACTACATCCATTATTGTACTGAACAGTGTTTCCTAATCTAGAGAGGTTCATTAAAGGTGTAGTAGTATATCGTGGATCTACTGCTGGTGAATAACCGCCAGTCTGAACATGTGGATCGTTTGCTGCCGGACCAACTATCTGTAATTGTCAACAAAAAATATGCTCTATTTTATAATTTTTATCGTGACAAAATACACAGGCTGTATGTTTATTGGTTGGTAATTATCTCTAACAAGATTTGTTAAGATGGTTCAGAAACGGTGCATCAAGATTTCTACCTAAATGGCTAATCAGTAGGTGACGTGGATCTCCATAAAAATAGAACTACACTGTAAGTATAGTGTGAAGATCTGTGGATTTTCTTCTTCGTGACAAATAACCAAATTTGAAAAGTCAAACTAAACTGTTCGACGAGTCCAAGATATTGAGAATATGCCATACTAAGACACGGATTAACACATCGTCGGTATAATTTACAACTTCTACTGTTATTTATGAACATCATCTAAGCAAATGATCTAGAACTAGGTCGTGGTGTCTAACCAGCTTCGTCAAGTTGCGACCATGAACGACTGATTCCGGTCCCAAAAATCCTGTTTGCAAGAAGAGAAGACAACGCGAGCGACAAATGGGCCGTTGTATGGTGCTGGCAACAAGAGGTAAACACTTACAGCTATTTTATTGAAGATTCCGACTCTTGTTGGAAGAAAATTATTTAAGTTTTTCAGAAGAACCATAGTTTTCATGGCTGCTTGAAGAGCAATTTGTCTATGTTCTGGACTTTGTATAACTGACATATCTAAATTCGTGTAGGGATTCATCTCTGGTGGATCAAATTCTCCCAATCTCATTCTGTTATACATCACGGGTTTCATTAATTCTCTTACTCTTGTTTCACTGACTCTACCACTACTAACAGCTTCACCTAAATAATAGTCATGTTTAAACTTCATTATGGTATTAATATCTAAAACAGTTCCCTTCCTTGAATTGAAGATAATAAACCTAGATTTGGTAAACAGTTTGCACTCAAAATCTGAAACTATTATAATCAGTAAAATTTGCTTATGAGTAGAGCTTTAGGCATAAATTCCCATATACCATTAGTTATGTTACCCAGTGGGATGACAGAGTGCCATCAATTAATAATTTGGGAAAATAAATCGTGTTTAACATCCACCTAACCGCAACAGTTCGAAACTATCATATAGTAGTATATCTACGTGATTAAAGCATACACGCACAGGCCTCCAGCAATTCGAGGAGCCGTAGAACTAAGGGGAAGTAGTTGATCAAATCCCCGACAAGCATAAATAATAATCTTCGACACTCCAACTGATATACTATCGGTACGGCGGAGGTTCTGTTTATGCTATGTAGTAATATTGCTAGAATTTTTGCTCTTTTAGTTTGTAGCATTATATTAATTAATATCTTTGGCTAATTATTAGATTTACACATTGTATAGAAGTCATATTGTCTAATATGCACTTAAATCAAAATGAGTGAATGAGTTATAATTTGGTAAACATAAGCTAGTTCAGTAGGAATCAGAATATCATGTTTAATTGCATCATTAATTGGCTTAAGTAACCAATCATATCAGTAATTGCACAGATTCGGGGTCATGAATAGCCTGGTCTGTGCATGATGTCCATATGGATCTTATAAAAGGGACCCTGGTAAGCCTTTATAATATTATTGGATTTCGGAGAGATTACCATCTGAGTTCCTAGACCATATGATGTCTCCTGGATAGGGTTCGAGAGAATGACTTTACTGTACTCCACTATGCTTGTATGCTTGTCGCATTGTTATACCTGGTAAGACAAACGTCTTAACTATTTAGATAAGAAGAAGAGAATACACAACGTGAAGGGTAAGCAAAGACGACAAGTGAAAATACTATTAAGATATGTAGTAAGAAACGATGCATGGGTCATAAGTAGGATGTGGCGACCGGTTTTAGTTTGTGTCCGTTCTCCACGCCTGACAGACGAGCCATGGTGCTACAGCTACTAGCACCTCGTAACTCTTTGGATATAGATTTAAATTTAATTTGAAGGGCAAAATGCACATCGAGAATTTGATACCAGAAAAATGTGAAAATCGGAAAATGTAATTACCGTACCTATATGATCGTAGACTTTACTTTTAGAGCTTGATATCTCTATGTTACAGCCAGCTTCTAAACTTGCAACAGCAGCATCCAAAGAGTTGTTCACATAGTGATGCGCGGTGATCATAAATTCTAAAGCTACATTATCACTGATAACTAGTCCTTCGTATCCCCATTCATCTCTCAGTATGTCTGTTAAAAGTTCTTTACTAGCACAGGATGGTACGCCATTAACGCTTCAAATAAAGCAAGAATGACACCTTAGTTAGACGTGTAGCCTAGTGCATAATTGACGCATAGATTTAAGAAAAATTAAAGTGAGGCTTCACTCATAAGGAACATAATTTCTAGAGCGTATCCTCCTGGTGATTGGAAAATTCACTCTGAACAAGGCTGCAATTTAACATTAAATAAGGCCTTCTGAATTTGATCAGAACAATTCCCAACGCTATGCTACGTCCTTATCTCGAATGCGATCAATTTAGCAACTTTCTGAATAGCTATTAAAATTAGCAATTTTGACATTCTTTTCCAAATTAACTCAAATAGCTGCACAGTATACCATGTTTATCCGCATTTACAGCTTTTCAGTTACAAATTTGCAATTTGAGATAGATTTGCTAATCCGTCGATTTCAGAAGGCCTTTTTTATGTTAACCTATATTGCAGCCTTGTTGACAGTGAATTTTCCAATCACGATGAAGAAACGAGGCAATTTTTAACCCGGCCTCGTTCGAACAACATTGCGATCTAAAAAAAAAGACGTGGCATTATTTTTAACATGTTACAACGTGGCAAAATTGTGGCAAAAATATTACCGCGTTTTTGGCCACGTTTGGGCAAAAACGAGACATTCTGAGATTTATAGTGGTTTTCAGATTTCGTATAGTAGTTTTCAGATGTTCAGCGGATCGATGCTTCCATGTAAGTAGGCAATGGTCTGGAGTTATTTTGAATATGATATAAATTAATAAGAAGGGTTCGCAATCTATGCCTCATTTCAAATTACCTCGAATAGCTGCACATGATACTGTATGTACCCGCATTTACACACGTCCTGAAAGCTGGTAGAAAAGTTGTTCTCAGATCTCTCATCGATACCTACAAAATACGTACACTGATCAGTGATCATTCCATGCTTTTTCGAATTTCGACATTTAAGGTTCGCATTTAAGATAAACTTAAAGGTGCCTAATGTTACCAGACAATATATATATGTTTACATTTGGACCATTCTTTATGTGTTTCAGTTTCTGTGCACATCGTATTTACTTTTCGTTTTAGTGTTAGCACAGTTTGCAGTATATTTCACTGTGGATTAACTAACCTTAAACCAAGACAAATCTGTCCAAAAAGATTTGGCTCGGTAATATTATGGCATTACTATGTATTAAATTACTTTAAATTAGAGGATAAGTATAATTCTGTACCTCTGCATTAAATCCAAATCTTGAAACTGGAATATCTTCTGGTCCGGTATAAGTATCAAAATGTTTACAGCCAGTACTTGCTAAAACATAACGTGGGTGCTCTCCTTGTAGACCTCGAACAAAAGCCTCAGCATAAACTCCAGTAAAAAATGGGTCTTCTCCATAGGTTTCCTGTGTATAAGAAGGCGGACTGATCAGTTAGGTTTCTATACACAATTCAACTTTATTTGTCCAAATTAATATTTAGACAGAAAACTATTTCACATTAAAAAACATTTTCTAAAATTAGCGAAATTATATCCGATTTTAAATACCGTTACACCATAAGAACCGTCAAGTTCGAATTTGTTTTAAGCAAATAGTATAGACATGTAATACCAGGGTTGTTGGACCCTCTGGAGGTCACACTTGTTATCAGAATTTATTGAAACTCAAAATATGTTTATACCCCAGGGCGTTATCTCCTGGTATGTGGTTCTACATTGTACGAAAGAAAATAGCTCGTTCTCAGCCCATCTCTTGCAAAATGTGGGAATATATTGCACGGCAACCGCTTGTTATCTATTGTTTTAAGATAATACCGGGAAGAAACAATTTGTATCAGAATTTAATGAAACCCAAAATATGTTTATATCCCAGAGCGTTATCTCCTAGATTATGTTATCATTTTAAGTACTTTTTGAAACCTAATTGTATAGATCCATTGCATACTATATATAGCGTTTTCCGGAAGTTAAATTATAATATTGTAGAAAATGACAAAATTTAAGAATGCTCTTTATGTAAATGATTGCCTTGGACTTACTTCATTTCGACCCCATCTTGGATCTCTCATAATGTTGATAACGGGTGAGCAGCAGCTTAAACCAGTTCCAACAGTGAAATTTCCTGCTTTGCTGAACATAGTATTCTTGGCTCTAATCTCTATACCTGTTGCTCGGGATACGTCATAAATCACTTCAGGACTGCAGAAATATAATTTATGAAATTGTAATATTTCACAGTAATGTCACACGGATAATATTTGCTGTTTTTGGTAGGGATAAAGATGTGGTAATTCTACATTTCGCAAAAAGCCATTGTTTTCTAGAAGATGCGGGAAATCGTGGAAAATGCTGCGAGGGTAGCTGAAAGTCATAACCCATGGGATCCATGTCGTAATTGTTTTTGAGGTTGGTACGAAATCCGAGAATCGCATCGCATGGCTTTTGACCATTAGACTGATTAAATTGATCATAAAGGTGTACATCTATAATTTCTAATTTAAGACAAAACAATACCTGAAGGCTGCTGCTAACCCAATGGCTTCTGGAAATCCGGTTCCACCTTGCTGTACATCGCCTCGCAGACATTCTGTCCACCATTCAAATGGCTTGATATCAAGTCTTGGGATCGCATCTGTTCCCCCTTTGCCTTTTGCCATTTGACCGATCATCTCCGGTAAGGTTAATCTGCCAACTAAATCATCTACTCTTTCTTTCCATGTTAAAGATACGTTATAGAAAGGAAAATCTGGAAACCCATAGCATGAAGCTAATAATACGATTAGGAAATGATAAACTTCCATCTTTACCAAAAGAATCTTGATATGAACTGGTGTACTTATTAGAACTGATAGTTTTTTCATAAGGTGTGATTTATAAGAAAAATATATTTCAAGGTCATAATAATACATCTGTATAAGTAAAGATAGGTTATCTTAGATAAGACGAAGATGTTCTTTTTTTATTTATTTTCCCACAATAGTTAGTATTGTAAATAAGCCAGTAATAGTATTAAAGATACATTAGTTAAGAGTTTTATAAAGAGTTGGCCATTCCTGCTATAATAATTCAAAAATAGATGATAAAAAAAAAGATAATGTTGAACGGAATTGTCACTGTTTGAAGTCTGGACTAGACATAGGCATCAATTGTGTCTGCACCGTCTATGAGAATTGGCGATCGTCTTCCCTTAGGCCTTAAATATTATGCCCCCGCCCCCCATGTGAAAAAGTTGTCGACCATAAAAACAATAGATATACATTGTCCGTCAATTTTACAGCACCACCTGAGAAAACTTCCCACTCCCCTCGTTGCTCTGAGCTAATTACGTCCCTGCCTGTCATAGTGTCGTGAATATCCTTGTTCTGGCATATGAAAGTTGATGCTGTGCGAAAGATGCTATGTAGAAAGCGTTAAGGGTAAATGGGAGAAATGTAAAATGTAGACACGTAAAAAATAAAGCATTTTCCCACAAAACATTTGTCATTTGACACTTAACATTTGGCGTTTTACATTTCACTCTTGCCTACGAGGTATTTTGACTTTATCATTACCGGTATTAGGACTTTGTACATTGTACTTTTTACATATAATCAACGGAAAAGACATTGTAGCAGAGCATTTAATATAGGCAGCAATACCCTTCCATAGAAAACACTACTGAATGCATACTGTCGATCACATACCAAATCCTAAACACTAAAACTTAATTTATAAAATTGAAAATTAAGTTACAAAATTAATCATTAATTTACAAAATTAATCATTAATTTACAAAATTAAGAAATAATTTACAAAATTAAGAAATAATTTACAAAATTAAGAAATAATTTACAAAATTAAGAAATAATTTACAAAATTAAGAATTTTTTTACAAAATTAAGAAAAATTTACAAAATTAAGAAATAATTTACAAAATTAAGAAATAATTTACAAAATTAAGAAATAATTTACAAAATTAAGAAATAATTTACAAAATTATAAAATAATTTACAAAATTAAAAAAAATAATTTACAAAATTAAAAAAATAATTTACAAAATTAAAAAAATAATTTACAAAATTAAGAAATAATTGACAAAATTAAATAAATAATTGACAAAATTAAAAAAATAATTGACAAAATTAAAACAATAATTGACAAAATTAAAAAAATAATTGACAAAATTAAAAAAATAATTTATAAAATTAAAAAAATAATTTATAAAATTAAAAAATAATTTACAAAATCATAATTTATTCTACAAAATTAAAAATTATTCTCCAAATCCAAATTTAAAAATAGAAATTAGAATTTACTTTTCAAAATTAAATACACAAAAAAGAAATCTAGGAAAAAAATAGTTTGTATTTAAGTTTTCGTACCATGGAGTATTATTGGTATTAGCATAGCATAGTATACTATTATATTAGGGGGTCACGGTGGCTAAGTGGGTAAGACGCTGGCTCTCTAGCCTGGGGGTCGGGTGTTCGATCCCTGCATTGGCCGAGAAAGTTCACCTAGATTTTCCGGCGTGGTTCCCCCTTGTCAGTGATGAAGGATGGAGGGCCTGACAAGGACAGCTGTATAGTCATTCGGATGAGACGAAAAACCGAGGTCCCGTGTACACATTGGCGTGCACGTAAAAGATCCCTTGACAGTTGGAATTCGATACAAGCGTAGCCATAGTGCCGCTGTCCGGGCAAAATTTCCCTCATGGCACACTGCATGGCACATGCCCGTCTTCATTAGCCCAGTCGGAGAAGAACAGTAGGACGTTAAACCCCATTTCATTTCATTTTCATATTATATTAATAGACTATTATAGAAATGTGCTTCGTAACCATATTTTCAGGTCAGCAATAATGTGGGCTTCATATCTGGATGAATCCAACTGAACAGACACATGGTCAATCATTATACAAGCACGACTGAGAGATAAGATGTGTCCTTGTCCATTATGTACTGGTGAAATGAATTCGAACCTTGAACACCAAGACCTGCTGGACTTCTATAGTGTGTAGTTCATATTATCAAACTTATACAAGGCTTTTAATTTTCAATCATCAATCCAGACAGGTTGTGCACAGAGAAAATACTCGTCACATTTCTGATTTTCTTTCATCTGACTGAAGTATAGAACACAATAGCTAAGTCGTTGTGTAAAATAGTTATGCAAATGGCTTTTAACTATCTTTTATATATTTGGGAACGATTCAAAGTTTGCAAGTAAAATATGTGTGTGTGTGTGGTGGCGGGGGAGGGGGGGGGGCTGGGTATATGAACTAGACTATAGGTAATTTCAGTTAAATGAGTAAGGCCTCTTTTATTTGGGTCAAAAATGAAGTGCCCTTTTGACTGATAAATATGTTTGGACATAGATAAAACCGATATAGAGAATTAGAGATCTAACCATCTATAATTTCAACAGCCGAGTTGCCAGTGATTTTTTTTCCGGCTTGTTTACCTCTTGTGAACGGTGAAAGGGCGGGGGGCAATATGGTCAAGAACAGCGCATAGTCACTGGGATAAAACTAATCCCGAGGTGGGTGGGAATTCGATGAAGATTAGAAAAAAATTCAATCGTCTGGGCAAAATTCCCTCGTAACACATTGCATGGTGTATTCCCGACTTCTGTACCATATAAAAGTACAACCGATACAAACAGGGGATTCCCTAAAACACCAAACTAAAATATTAATATGAAAATGAAATGAAACAATGGGGTTTAATGTCCCACTGTTCTTCTCCGACTGGGCTAATGAAGACGGGCAGCAGCACTATGGCCTACTCTTATATCAAATTCCAACCGTTAGGGATCGTTTACGTGCACGTCAATGCATACGAGGGACCTCGGCTTTTGTCACATCCGAACGACTAGACAGCTGACAAGGGGAAACCACGTCGGAAAATCCCGATGAACTTTCTCGGCCAATGCAGGGCGTCTTACCCACTTAACAGTAATATGAAAATGGCGAGATACGCAGACTTTATTTGGTTTACAATCCTTTTTTTTTAGTTTCTTTGGACTTGATTATGTTTATATCAGCAAGCGGTAATACAAACAGTACCGATGGGATGGGGGGGGGGGGGTACTAACTAATTGCGTACAAATTACATCGAAGAGTCATATTTTACCCTCAAACTTTATTTCAGTACAGACATTCAATGGCACAGACGATAATAATATTATTTCAATTCTGATACTGCAACACGTTCTTAGGTATTACGTGAACCCCGGTGGATTCAATTAATATTACATTACGAGTGTGAATATGGTATCCTTAAAATGTAAACGTGTACATGACTGCAACTATTGTTACACATATACTTATTACAGTGAGTTGATTCATTTTCCACACAACATTCTTCGTATAAAACGGGGTCCAAGAATTGCCAAAGCGTATACAGTTTATCAATCCACTACGTCCCACAAAAGCTATTTTGTCAATTTTCAACACCAAATATTTCTTCACATCTAATGATAGTAACCAGACAATTTCTATTTTAAATAATTTCTCACTGTTTTGTTTTCAGAAAAATCTCAGTGCCTTCCAGTTGACCAAATGACAGAATAAAATTGCTAATATGTCTATGTTTACTAGTTGTTTATTATTATTCGGGGTTGGATGGCCGAATGGTTAGCACGTGCGCGATGTATCATAAGGTCTGTCATTGAGTCAGCTGGCGTGGTTTCGAATCCCCGGTTATACGTGACAAGGAGTAGGTTCGCCTGTCCAACCTCCTAGGTTTTCCCCGGGTCCTCCGGTTTCCTCCCACTGCTAAAGACCCCTACGCGCAAGCGATTTATTGAAATAAAATTGAACCATGTTGAACCATGTGTTGCTCCCGAAATGACCTAGTTTGTGCTGAGTGGACATTAAACACCATTTCTCTCTCTCCCCCCCCCCTCTCTCTCTCTCTCTCTCTCTCAAAACAAACTTTAAGTTTGTTTTCAAACGTGCATTATTCTAGAAATGAAATGGAATGGGTTTAACGTCCTTCTCCGCCAACTGGGCTAAAGGAGCCGAGCTTACGCCACACAAGGTGGTACGTGGGAAAATTTGCCCGGACAGTGGTGCTACGGCTCACTCTGATCTCGAATTCCAACTGTCAAGGGTTCTTTTAAGTGCACTCCAGTGAGTAAACGGGGCCCCCGTTTTGCATTCCACTTGAACGACCAGACATTGTTCCTTGCCAGGTGTGACACTACGGCCTGCCAAATGTGTAATCAGGAACTTCCAGACAACGGCCCGTGATACTATCGTCTAGGAGTTTCTTCGACTTCACATTGTGATCAATTAACTCTGGAACACTTTTTACGTTAACTATGTTTTTATATCTTAACGGGGTGGTCTAATCCGAATGATGTTTATTTCCCAGCCTCTCAGCCCAGTGACTGTGGTGTACCCAGCTTCCCAATGATATCTAAAGAAACTTAAATAGCTCTTTCTTATATAAAGATGATACATGCATGGGTCAGTATTGAGCCCCGGGAAATTGACCAGGTGCTTCCTTTACCGGACTGGTCAGGTGCAAAGATGCTACCCTAGATTTCAACACAGTGTACTTATATGAGTACCACGATTCTAACACATGGCATTACCATATTTGGATTATCAGACTATGATGTCATTGCCCGACTTTAGACCACCAGACACATTGTTGTTAGCCTATTTCTTGTTGTCAGTGGTACTAGCTAATAGACGACAAAACATTAACCAGAACACCTCTACAGAACTTAGGTAACCTCCACAGTATATAGACCCCATAGTATTATACAGGCCCTCTATCTTGCAGCACTGACATCCGAGGAAACCATGCTGGAAAATCCAAAGAAAGTTTCTCGGCCAACACCGTGTGTGAACTCAAGCCCTCCTGGTTAGCGATTCAGCCACCACGGCACCTCAAAAAGTGGGTTACGGTCACTTTTTTTAGTAAATAAACGTTGTTCTTGCTGAACAGGTAAGCATACCGAAATGAAAAGTAGGTTTAACATACAATTTTTCTGAACCAACCGGGACGGGCATATGTCTTCGATGAAAATGATTCTATAATTTCAAACGTTAAGGCTTCTTTTACGTGCAAGTCATTGTGTACAAAGGACCTGGGTTCTTCGTTTTATCCTGCAGCACTAACAAGGGAAAATCCCGCTGGAAAATCCAGTTATCTTTCTCGGCCAACACCGGGATAAGATATGAGAACAAAATCTTTTTTATTTTCAAGATACATTTCGAACGATCAACATTTTAAGTAAACATTCTTATACTTTTCAGCTCTTGTGAACTATTTAATATTTCCCCAGAAACCTGCTTTTAGTAACTGTGACGGTTCCTGATAAAACGTTAGAATCAGCGGTTTTCTTTTGGTTTGGTTGTTGACCACCAACAAATAATCCATACTGTCCTGAAATAAAAACACCAACAAATATTCAATATTGTAATAAAATATATATATCAAACTCAACCTATTGTGAAATTTATAATGAAGGTTATCCTGCAATGCAAATATATACCCTATAGTTCATAGAAATTAAAAATGGAAATTACAAATCAATATTAATTTAAAGTAATTTATTTTATCGTCGTATTAAGCACGGTCAAATTCTGATACTAACCTGGATAAACCATCCACCCACTGTTATCTTCCATCCATACCGCCATACTTTCACCTTTAACTCTAAATGTTACTCTTATTTTATTCTGAGCTATAACATACTGTCTCTTAAAATCCACTAATTGTAGTTTAGGTGTTGGTTCTGGACTATTTTGCCAGTTGATATAAACTTGAATAACCTCATCAGCTGATATTTGACCATTATTATAAACATCTACTGATCCCTCTATATCATTGCCTGCTAATATTGACTGACTAAATTGTAGATTAGAATAGGTAAAACTTGTATAAGATAAACCATAACCATAGGGATAAAGTGGATCATAGTTAATATATCGATATGTTCTACCTTCCATAGAATAATTTACCATAGGAGGCAACTGAAAGAGGAACAAACAGTGTTATCATGCGCGACAGGAAGAGGGTTTGTGGGATAATTGGATATTCAAATGTTTGAGGTTACTTATAAATGAACAGTCTGATTAGTGATAGGCGAATGTATGCTTTCCCCCTTGACATTAATGACTGATATTAAAATAATGTTTATGTATAGGCGTGTAATGAATTATTCTAAATTAATATCCATATGTGAACGTTGTTGGCCGTGTGCAAAATCACAATAACCACACCATGCTCGGCAATGTCTCGTTCTGGTTATGTTTGTTTTAACAAAGCAAAACAGAAAGAGATAAAAAAGGGTATATCTTACTTGGTTTTCATTCATTGGCCATGTACACGGAAGTCTGCCAGCTGGTGCAGAATTGGGACCATTCATTGTAAGAACATTAAATAAAGCTTCTCCTGTAGCTTGAGCAGGATAGAAAGCTTCTAAGATAGCAACAACTCTAGGATTACTATCAGCCCATGTTATATCAACAGGTCCGGCATTAAACATGATAAGAAGAACGGGCGTATTAGCTGGACCTAGAAATATAAACAACTCTAGGATTACTATCAGCCCATGTTATATCAACCGGTCCAGCATTAAACATGAAAAGTAGAACGGGTGTTTTAGCTGGACTTAGAAATATAAACAACTATAGGATTACTATCAGCCCATGTTATATCAACCGGTCCGGCATTAAACATGATAAGTAGAACAGGTGTATTAGCTGGACCTAGAAATATAAACAACTCTAGGATAACTATCAGCCCATGTTATATCAACCGGTCCAGCATTAAACATGATAAGTAGAACGGGTGTTTTAGCTGGATCTAGTAATATAAACAAAACAATTCTCAAGTTACTGATTATCATTATATATCAAAATATAATGTAAAACTCCGTAGCATGGCCAAGAAATATAAAGAACTATAGCATATGTTATATCAAAAGTAACGTCAAGGAATCTGATATATTGAGAATCTCGTACTCGTCTTTTTTGATATCAAAAAATATCAACACTCGTCGAGCGAGTTTTTTTTTTATTTTATCGACGTGTGTTGATATTTTTTGATATAAAAAAAAAGACGAGTAGAAGATTTTATTTATCACCCAATCCTTTCTTACATGCACAAATAAATAAATATAATTCTTTGCTTTTACTGAATCTGATTACATTACGGCGTAGTGATACATACTTTTTTTTGACAGCAATTCAACCATTGCAAAGTCCTTTATATTGATCCAGTGTTTCCATCAAGGCCAATTAAATAAAGATAGTTCATTTTTAATAAAAGAAAAAGAAGTTACTTTTAATATAAAAAAAAATGAACTGTTCTTTGAAAATAAAAAAGGAGTTCCTTTTCAACTGACCAATCAAATTCATGTAAAGCGATATCTCCCAAGTCATGGTATAATACAAACTTCAAGATTTGTTTCGTTAACTCCATTAATCACATCCACACGACTTTCAGTTTCCTCAAAAGTAGAAGGCTACTTACTATTATTAACAGCATCTTGAAGTAGTTCTAATTGTTTTCCAGGTAAAGCTATACCGGATCGATCGATATGTTCCTTTTCTACGGCATTTCCTAAAATGAAAAGTAAAAATAGTTTGCATTTGAAGTTTTAATGTTGAGAAGTTAAAGGTATTTATGTAATAATTGAAATTTATGTTCTAGGCTACATGGATATGGCATTCCATTGAAATACACAGGCAATCTTTTTTTACGTATAAATCTTAAAATAACTTAATAATATCAATTTTGTGGAAGAAATTTAACGGTGCTATTATTTTGTATTTGGTGCAGTATTTAAATTGGGTGACTTAGCTAGTGATTGATATACCTAATCCTAAGCATACGATGACCAGATCAACTCCTTGAACAGCTTTTATTATACCAGCTTGGTCGTAACCTATACAAGTAGTATTTCCACTACATCCATTACTGTACTGAACAGTGTTTCCTAATCTAGAGAGGTTCATTAAAGGTGTAGTAGTATATCGTGGATCTACTGCTGGTGCATAACCACCAGCCTGAACAACTGGGTCGTTTGCTGCCGGACCAACTATCTAGAAACGAAAACAAAATATGAAATGAAAACATCTTCTATTTTAGACTTATAGGCGATTGTATCGTCATCGAATACTGCAAAATATACAGGCTGTCAGTTTATCGGCGGGTGATCATTTCTAACAGGTTTCGTTAAACTGCATCATAAACGATGTATTAATGTTCCTACTAAAAAAAAACTAAACAGTAGATACCGTGGAATGCTATCTCCATCACATTAATCTGTAGATAATGTGTGTAGATCTGTGGATTTTTTTCTTGATCAATATATACCTTACAAAGTTAAAGAGCACATCAAGTGACCAAGCAACCTTTTTTGCTTTTTTTGTACTTATAACCAGCCATCTTCACTCAAAGTGACAAATACAGACCGCCGGTAAAAATGACTTTACTAAAACCACTCTTAATCCGCTTAGTGACGTCACAGTGACTGAATGTACTCTTGACGGAAGAGAACCGACAAACATTATGTCCCTTTTCTTTGCTGGGATTTCCACAACTCTCAACAACACAAAGATAATGTGGCTCTTTAAAATTCACTCTAAAATATTCCAGTCCCAAGTATGTAATCTATAACCATTCAAGACGAGAAAGGTCAGCTCTTAAAGGAACCAAGTCTTTAACTCAATATCATGCACAGTCTTCGACATTGCAAACACGACTTATTGGTCAATTTAAATCAAGTCTGGTGTTGTTATCTTACCGTAGGCTTCTGATATCCAATATTTAAGAAAAAATGAAATTTTTTAAATTTGCACACGAATGGCGTGCCAGAATGTTTTCGAGTGCCAGTTGCATGAAGCGACTCGATGAACGAGGCTAAACGTTTTGCCGAAAATAACTGATTAGAAATAACAGTAGAAACAGAAACGATTGAATGTAAATCAGTTCACATACATTCATTTGGCATTATTATATGCGTTGCCATTTATAGTAATTTAGATATTGTATGTGTGGTCCCTGTGACGTCACCGGTCAATCAACCGGATTAAGGCTGTAATTAAAAAGTGTTTTCGGGTGTCTAATATTTAAACGGTATAACGGTATTATATCAAAGGACTTTTTAACTAACTTTTATTATATGAGATCTGTGCTAAAGGATTTGTTTTAACTAACTTTTATTATATGGAAAGAACCACACGGACATTTTTATTTGTAAATACTCCACGGATCCTGCTATGTGGTTTTTACTGCGAGAACTTCGCTTTTCCACATTAAACAGCGGATTCTTTTTCCCACAGATTTTTTTCGATCCGCTGCAATGGCATCAAACAGCTGGATCACCTATTTTAACTTGTTTTCATTATGACAAAGTGAGAAGATGGCCCGCCCTCTCTTCCCACGACAACGATTTTAAAACCATTTTTAAAACCATGTTTTAAAGTGATTTTTAGATATACAAGAACTTTTTATAATTTTAAATCTGTTTTAAAGTGACTTTTAGATATACAAGAACTTTTTTTTATTTAGTGTTTTTACCTAACTTCTATATTTTACTCATTCAGATGTAAATAACTTAATTAAACCAACCTGTCCATAATATCATGCATTATGTATTGGACGTTAAATTTGTAATAAACAACAACAACAACGAATAATTTTAATCAGATTGGTGTGAACTTCGTAAAGTGTATATAGTGACCACTGGCCATAAGTACAGAAAATTTTATTTGGTCACTTGATGTGCTCTTTAATTGATTCTATGTCAAATAATTTCTTTTTAAATCAAACTAAAGTGTGCGATGAGTCCCAGATATTGCGAATACTGCAACACCAGTTAGAATGTACAACCTCTACTGTTATTTATGAACACCAAGTAAGCAAAGTGATCCAGAACTAGGCCGTGGATTCTAGCGATCTTCTTCAAGTTGCGACCATGAACGACTGATTCCTCCCAAAAGACCTGTTCCTAAGAAGAGAAGAAAAACGAGTGACAGTTAGACACTGTGTAGTGCTGACACCTAGGGACAAAAACTTACAGCAATTTTATTGAAGATTCCGACTCTTGTTGGAAGAAAATTATTTAAGTTTTTCAGAAGAACCATAGATTTCATGGCTGTTTGAAGAGCAATTTGTCTATGTTCTGGACTTTGTATAACTGACATATCTAAATTCGTGTAGGGATTCATCTCTGGTGGATCAAATTCTCCCAATCTCATTCTGTTATACATCACGGGTTTCATTAATTCTCTTACTCTTGTTTCACTGACTCTACCACTACTAACAGCTTCACCTAAATAATAGTCATACGTTTAAACTTCATTATGGTATTAATATTTAAACACGTTCCCTGCCTTGAAAAGAAGATAACGGATTTTCTAATCGGTTTGCACACAAAATCTAAAACCACAATTATGAGCAAAATGTGCTTATGACTAGAGCTTTAGGCATAAATTCCCACTTCCGAATAGGTATGTTGCCTACAGAGATGACAGAGTGCCATGAACCAATGAAGGGGGATAATAAATTGTGTTTAGCATCCACCTAACGCAACCGCAATAGTTCGAAATTATCATATAGTATACCAACGTGATTAAAGGATAAACACACAGGTCCCCTCAGCAATTTGGGGAGCCGTAAAACTAAGGGAAAGTATTGGATCGAATTCCCGACAACCATAAATAACAACCTTCGACACCCCAATTGATATGCTGTCTGAACGGCGTTGGTGAACAAAGCCCCCTTCTCAGTGTCTTTCGTTATTGATTCTGTTTATGTTAATAGCTGAAAACCTCTAGCATCTCGTAACTCTTAAGAGATAGGGTTACATACACTTGTAAGGGCTAAATGCGCATCCATCAAGAATATTAAAATCGCAAAATGAAATTACCATACCTATATGGTCGTAGACTTTGCTTTTTTCTTTTGAAATCTCTATGTTACAACCAGCTTCTAAACTTGCAACGGCCGCATCCAAAGAGTTGTTCACATAGTGATGTGCAGTGATCATATATTCTAAAGCTACATTATCGCTAATAACTAGTCCTTCGTATCCCCATTCATCTCTCAGTATGTCTGTTAATAGTTCTTTACTAGCACAGGATGGTACACCATTAACGCTTTAAATATAGCAAGAATGGCACCCTAGTCAGACGATAGCCTAGTTACAGGGGAAAATGGCGACAACACAGTGCATAATTGAACCATGGATTTAAGAGAAATTAAAATACGACTTCGGTAACAAGTAACGGAATTTCTAGAGAGTTACTCCTTGTGATTGGAAAATTCACCCTGAACTCGGCTGCAATATAGTTCAACATTAAATAAGGCCTTTTGAAATTGATCTGATCAATTCCCAATGCTATGCCACGCCCCTATCTCGAATGATATCAAGCTTAAACTTTTAAAAGAAATTAGCAACTTTCTGAATATCTATTAAAATTAGCAATTTTTATATTCTATCCCAAATTAACTCAATATATCATGAGTACCCGCATTTTCAGCTTTCCAGCAATTTGAGATTTGCTAATCCATAAATTCAGATGTTTTTCAGATTTCGTATTGTAGTTTTCATATGTTCAGCGGATCGATGCTTCCATGTAAGTAGGCCATGGTCTGGAGTTATTTTGAATATGATATAAATTAATTAGAAGGACTCGCAATCTATGCTTCATTTCAAATTACCTCGAATAGCTGCACATGATACTGTATGTACCAGCATTTACACACGTCCTGAAAGCTGGAAGAAAAGTTGTCCTCAGATCTCTCATCGATACCTACAAAATACGTACACTAATCATTCGTCGCTTTTACGAATTTCGACATTTAAAGTTTCGTGTTTAAGATAAACTTAAAGGTGCCTAATGTTTACCAGACAATATATGTTTACACCTAAAACCACATTTCTATTTGGACCATTCTTTATGTGTTTCAGTTTCTGTTCACTTCTTATTCACTTTTCGTTTTAGTGTTAGCACAGTCGGTAATATATTCCACTGTGGATTAACTTACCTTAAACCAATACAAATCTGTCCAAGAAGACTTCATTAACTCGGTGTTTTGGATTGTTTTGGAGTCGGTAATATTATGACATTACTATGCATTAATTTACTTTAAATTAGAGGATAAGAATACTATTGTACCTCTGCATTAAATCCATCTCTTGAAACTGGAATATCTTCTGGTCCGGTATAAGTATCAAAATGTTTACAGCCAGTACTTGCTAAAAGATAACGTGGATGTTCTCCCTGTAGACCTCGAACAAAAGCCTCTGCATAAACCCCAGTAAAAAATGGGTCTTCTCCATAGGTTTCCTGTGTATAAGAAGGTGGTGGACAGATCAGTTAGGTTTGTATATTTGTCCAAATTAATAGTTAGACAGAATACTACCTAACCTAACTTCAACCAAATTCATTTGATCTAAAATTAGCGAAATTTCTTATCCACTTTTAAAGACCGATAAGTTCGAATTTCGTGAAAATGGGACAGAGACTGTGTGCCAAAATGGCCGCTCCCCTTCACGCAAATAGTGTAAACATGTAATACCACGGCTGTGGACCCTCTAGAGGCCACAATTTTTTTTATCAGATTTTAATGAAAGTTGAAATATGTTTACATCCCAAAGATCATGGTCCCTTTTTGCATTTGAACCATGTCAGAGCGTTACCTTCTAGATTATGGCTCCAGATTGTACGATACACAGCTTGTTCTCTGTCCATCTCTTGCAAAATGTGAGCATACATAGATTGGCAATCGCCGCTTGTTATCTATTGCTTTAAGATAACCCCTGAAAGAAACGTAATCTCACAAGGTTACCAGACAGACTTCCACACAGCTGCTGTCTAATCCACGTGTGTTAGAAATAAACGGAACAAATAACGGAATATACAATACTGAAACGTGTCCAAATTTAGGCAAAGTAAGGACACGTAGTGTACGGAATCTGTGTTATTATACAAACTTATGTTATCATCTTAAATGGATTACTTACAATGAGTACTTTTTGAAACCCCCTAATTGTATTGATCCATTGCATACTATATATATAGCGCTTTCCGGGGGCTAAATTGTATTATTGTACAGTTTTAACTCTTGTAGAAAATGACACAATTTAAGAATGCTCTTTATTTAAATATTTATCGTGGACTTACTTCATTTCGACCCCATCTTGGATCTCTCAAAATGTTGATAACGGGTGAGCAGCAACTTAAACCAGTTCCAACACTGAAATTTCCTGCTTTGCTGAACATAGTATTCTTGGCTCTGACCTCTATACCTGTTGCTCGGGATACGTCATAAATCGCTTCAGGACTGCAGAAATATAATTTAAGAAATTGTATTATTCCACTGTAATGTCACACGTTATAGTTTGCTGTTTTTGGTAGGGATAAACATGTGGTAATTCTACATTTCGCAAAAACCCATTTCTTTCTAGCAGACACAGGAAACCGTGGAAAATGCTGCGAGGGTAGCTGAAAGTCCTATCCTGTGTGTTTCAGTCATGGGATCGATGTCGAATTTGTTTTTGATGTTGGTACGAAATCTGGAAATCGCATGGCATGGCTTTTAATCATTAGTCTGATTAAATTGTTCATAAAGGTATACATCTATGTTTTCTTATTAAGACAAAATTATACCTGAAGGCTGCTGCTAACCCAATGGCTTCTGGAAAACTAGTTCCGCCTTGCTGAAAATCGCCTCGTAGACATTCTGTCCACCATTCAAAGGGCTTGATATCAAGTCTTGGGATCGCATCTGTTCCGCCTTTGCCTTTTGCCATTTGACCGATCATCTCCGGTAAGGTTAATCTGCCAACTAAATCATCTACTCTTTCTTTCCATGTTAAAGATACGTTATAGAAGGGGAAATCTGGAAACCCATAGCATGAAGCTAATAATAGGATTATGAAATGAAAAACTTCCATCTTAACTAAGTTGTACTTAGTAGAACTGATAAGCATTTCATATGGTGTGATTTATAAGCAAAGATATATTTCAAGGTCATAATAATACATCTGTATAAGTAATGATAGGTTATCTTAGATAAGACATAGATAATATTTTGTTTGCATTATGCTTAGTATTGTAAATAATTCAGTAATGTCATTAAGATGGTGCATGACAAGTGTATTCAGTTTTCAAAGAATCAGTCCATCAGATGGCAGTAGGCTAATTAATTATACAAATATGAAATATCCATTCAATAAACATAAATTGAGCAGATATGATACAACGTAAAGTATAGCGTAAATGTCATGAATAAATTGTCAATATTTAATATTTTTGAAGATATCTGGTTTATATCCAGAGTAAAAGTTTCCGTGGTATTTTTCTGGTTTGTTTGCTGTCCACCTACAAGTGATCCATATTGAAACAGAGATCGTATATCAATTATTAACGTACTAAAACCTTACTATCTTCAATATTTTATTGACCATGCATAAAATTTAATATTTATACCATAATTTTCAGAATGATCTGCATTAAATGCATGATTTTCGCGCTCTTATCAAATTTCTTAATAGTTGATATAAGCCTTGTCGGAGATTCAGTTTTGATAATTGTCCCGCCAATGTTATGAAGCAGAAATTATGACATGAAATAAAATCAATTACGACAATCCAGCCATTAGACAAAAAACGGTATAGGCAAAATAGTGTTATCAGCAAACAGACTGTTCACCATGTACAAAATACAAGATGAACAGTGGTAACAGGTGTCCGGAAGAATATAATAAATCAGATGGGAATTATTACGTACCCTCTTTGTATATATCTATACCATGATTAAGTCATGATCATTGCTAAACGAAAACACTACTGAATGTATATACTATCGATCACATACCTAATTCTAAACATACGATGGTCAGATCATCTCCTTTAACAGCTTTTACTATACCATCTTGGTCGTAAAAGTTTTATTAGGGAAGTATAATATCATCAGCCGTGTACGTCCATAATCCTTTTAAAAGCTCTACAAAAATCACCAAAACCCTGTTAACACTCTACAGGTTAGAGAATTATGCAGACTATACAAAAATGGACCTCTATCGAAATTAATATATGCCTATAAGGCGATGTCATATGATTGACTAGTGGCCCAAATGTTCAGCTAGTCGTAAAAAAAACGTTTTGAAATGGGGGTGGGGGCGTTGTTTGCGTTGTTTTATTTTGGTGGGGGGGGGGGTTATAACAGCGTTATGAACATCAGATACACGTTTGCTTTAGCTATACAATTTAGTTTTCGAACGTTAGTTACGTACGTTTATATTGTCAACCTTATACAAAAAAACACACAAAAACGATATGGGCTATATCCAATCGTCTCACAAAAGTCGAGTTATTTCCCTTTAGTCGAGTTTCAATTAACAGAAATAGATTTAATTTGATACCTTACGCTTACGCAGTTCCACGGTTCTCCCTCGTCACAAAGATAATAATTGCACGTAAAAAGGATTCACTGTTTTGAGCCCATCACCTTTGCGTGACGTGTTCCCTGTCCACCATCACTTATATATCCTTACAAGTTCAGCTCCATGATAGATTTATATCAAATTTAATTAAGTTGTGCCATTTCAGATTTGTGTTCATACAATAACAAGGCCGCAAGTGCACTTCATAACTGGCAAAAGTATCGGTTAAATTTTCATTGACTTTGAGAGTTTATTCATAGTTACGAGTTACGATGCATTGCCCATGCACAATAGTAAGACTAGTCATATACGCGATTTTCAATCGTAAACAGTCAAATACTTACGTGAAAGCCCTATTCACTGGTAAAATATTCGATAGGGACCACAGCTAACGTAGCCTATTGGAATTAAAACAGATTGTGTGACATATTGCCGAAGTTTATAACCACTTTTCATTGAATATTTAATGTAGTATAACTCTATCAAATATATATCAATGAAGATGACTTTTGGTTTTAGTTCAAAATCGCCGGTATGGAGTTCAGGTGGTATTTACCGTGATTCAATCTGGAATCATATCTACCGAGTATATAAAGATATTCACAATATGATCTCATTTCAAAACATTCCTTTGAAGAAAGCAACTGGATAACACGTCTAATATTCGTTGCAAATTGTACATCCGTTTTTGTTTGAATGTTATAACAAAATATGTATGTGAGTATAGATAAAGCTGGATTTTTATCATTTATTTGCAACACCAAAGACGAATGGGAAATAAGCTTTCATTTTGTATATTGGGTGTCACTGGGGGGAATCGGATAGCTCTGTCTGTGGATCTATTTATCATTTATTCAGAAGATAAGCGTGCTAAATATGCTTTCGTTTTATTATTACAGTTGCATGACAAATGTACAAATCGTGAATCAAAAGTTAATTTTTATATCTCACTTTTTCATATTTCCAAGTTCTCGGCTTTTTCTGACGTAACACAATCATTGTACAAAAGGTGTAAATAACAAACATGTCTGCGATCACTTTCAGCATTCTGCAAGCCCTCGAGTGGTTTCCATATAACAAGAAAAGGTCCACCTGCAGTCCACATGAAGCGCACATGCTGCTGGTTAGAATCTGATATTGCCCTGCAAGTATCTATATCCGATTCACAACACTATTATGGTAGATGTTAACGGTATCTTGTGTTGATAAAGATCTACGTGTATATCACTACTTCTACCTCCAGGCTAATTACATTACTTTGTCTTTTTTATATATAGCAGATCATCCTGATGCTTATCAACATCTGTTCAAAGGACAAGGCGATAAAATGAAAAGTAAGAGATATTGCTGGTGAAAATGTAGACCTTGTACGAATTTACGGCAATTGTTTTTTACAAGACGTATTCATCTTGTTTATAAAACTTTAAAACCTCACCCATCAAAGATGGTATTAATTTCCTTAACACTTAAAATATTGAAGCCTTGATGCAAATGTTACATTTCTAATTTGAAGATATAATGAAACGCTTGGGGTATGTCTGGATTCTTGTCCAATATGGTTCCCATCTTGTAATATTAATCTGGCAATTGTCCGATATTAAACTCCTACCAAACATTTGTATCGCCTCTGATTTTCAGACAGAATAATTCTGACGGCGACATTAAACCACGTTAACTAATAAAAATTATTTGTGTTACTGGGTACTGGTGAGCTGATAGGGAAAGTGTTTTTTTTTACAACTTTCTTCTGCTCCGATTGGGCTAATAAAGACGGACACACGCCATATATGTACAGTGTGTTATGAGAGAAGTTGTGCCAAGACAGCGGCGCTACGACCAGCTCTTATATTGAATTCCAACTGCTAGGGAATCCTTTTTGTGCAGCCTAATGTATACACGGGTTCTCGGTTTTTCGTCCCATGCGAACGACTATACGTTGTTCTTTCCCAGACCCTCTGTCCTGCCTACAGGGATCGAACACGGGACCTCCAGGTTAGCCATCCAACGTCTTACGCACAGAGCCGCCGTGGCTCCCTTGCACATAAATGAACCATTGACAGTCGGAAATCGAAAAGGAGTATGGGAACGCAGCTGGGCAAAATTCTACTCTCTCTGTGTAACAATAGAATACTAATTAAAACAGCTGAAGTTTAGTGTAGACAAGCCGCACAACCCAAGTGACAAAATTTTCCATGAAACAAAACAGATTAGGTAAAAATATACACCATGTTAGTGCCAGGGTATCCAAGGTATGTTATAAACATAGACGTTAATCCCCATTTCTTTATGCCTCTCTATTACCACTCCAGTATGTACCCTTTACTGACTGCGTCTAAAACTCAACAGGCGTCTAAAGTCATATCGATACAGAATAGCCCTTATCTTCTCAATGTCTACAATTGACTCCTATAAAGCTGTCCAATTGGATCACAACTGCGTCCTCTGTAATTAGTTGTTACAAATTACTAGTGATAAGGCAACGAAGCGCTCCCGTCTCTTTTCATTCAATTGATTTATACACATCATTTTCTTTGTGTAATGGCGCGCGAATCACCATAATTATCTCTATTGCCAACCACTTGATAGTAATGCTGTCATCTTGTATGGTGTACTACACCATTTGACTTCACAAAATAAGATTACATAAGCAGATAATTCTGATCCGTTGTGAATACAATTCTCGAGACGGTTAAACTGTGTCCCTATTGAAGACTGGATATAGAACGTCGGCTCGACTTTGGTTGCAATTACTGAGATTGAAAAATAACATAGATCTGACTTTACGGCAGATTTTGACAGAAATATTCACACGATATACAATTCTGAACCTGGTGTTTAGTAGTCCCTGTCCAAATAATGCTCATGTTCATGCATGGCTAGTGCACAATGTGAATTTACTATTATTGCCCCCCTCCTATAGAAGAAAAGGATTCGTTCGTCTGTCTGTCTGCCTGTCACACTTTTTGGAATACAATAACTCTGTTTCTAATTGAGGTAAAATGTTCAAACTTTGTACATATATTCATTAGGTGAATACCTTGACTGGTTTTGATGATCAGCATTTTCTGCTTCTAATCAGAGATAAGGACTTTCATAGGTCGATGCTTTGGTACACGATTCTAATTAAGTGAGAGTAATGAAACATGGTGTATAGTTTTATTACATCAATAACTTGACTAAGTTCGATAATGATCATTTGCTATACCGGATAAGCAGAGTGAACAGAATTTTGATTGGTCGAGAATTTAGAGTGAGAGTGGCAAAACTTGATTTATACCTTACATCAGTGATTCTCAACCAGTGTGCCGAGGCACACAGGTGTGCCGCGAGATCTTCCTAAGTGTGCCGCGAAATTTTTGAACGGCACACTAAGAAAATGTGAAAAACCACGTGATCCCTGTTGAATATTCACTGGTGTCTACTGATAAGTTCATAGCTGTGGTTTTTTTTTCTTTATTTAGTTTCAGTCATTCTATGTGTCTATGACTATAGTCTCTGTGTATGGTTGTATTCCGTCTGACTTAAAATGTTTTTTTTAGCAAAATTCAGATATTTTTCATATATATTTAGCCAGTTGCGCCGCTATTTTTTTTCATGTGTTCTGAGGTGTGCCGTTGGCAAAAACAAGGTTGAGAATCATTGCCTTACATGAATACCTCGATAACTTCAGACAGTGCGCATGTCTGCTTATGCTAACCATTTTATTGGTAAAAACTTTGGAATCCCCAATGGACCATATACAAAATTGGAATTAACATCGGCATCCATGCACATTTACAATAAAGAAAATATCTATTATGACACACCGTTTCCAGTGACAAAGTATATAAATTTAACCTATCCGTACGATTCGTGTCGACAGCAAGCGTTTACTAGTTTAATAGAAAATTAAATTAACTCTATGAATTTCCTGCAATTGATAAGAGAATTTGAGCTGTGCTCCCGAGCTTTTCTCTAATACCCCCAATTACAACATCAGGCATGCTATAATCCGTGCAGCCTTTGAGCAATTCATTGTATTTTTACACTGCAATCTAATCACCATCATAACGTTCAAACTTCAAACAGTTTAATAAGCGTAAAACTTTAAACTGACAGGAAAATGACACATCTGAGTTGAGCAAACGACGGAAAATATCCATGGGTAATGTCACATTAGAAATATGCAATCACTTTGACAGACCGTCGACTTTGTTGCAGGAAATCAAAGCGATGTAATTTCAGTATTAAATGTCTGTCACATATCAATTGTGAATAAAAGGCACAGCTACATGTACATTCTTTATGAAGTCTTAATAGATATTTAAGCACAGCATTTAACAATTGTGCGACCCCTTTCAGCAGTTTCTAAAGATATTTCCAGACTAAATACCCCGATCATTCCTCTTTTTTGTGTAAAGTATATGTCAGAATTTCGTGTACGACACGTCATCTGGGTTAAAGGAAACGATGAATTTGAGTCAGATGCCATCGTATGATGTTTGATGACAAATTTTACTTAATTGAACTTATTCAAGACCAGGCATGATATATTTACAAATTTGGTATGTGGCAACAGCAGCAGTTCTTTTCCAAAAGGACGCTTAAAGATCTCGCGTTCAGATCAAATTTACAACCAAGGGTCTTAATGTCAACCAAGCAAGCATAATTACCTCATAGAAAGGCGGATACTGTACAGTGGGTAATTTGATTTGCATTCCAGCATTGACATTATGTTCATCATAAAATTTGTTTCTATACAATGGGTAAATTTTTGCTGTATGCCGATGAATACTCCCTAATCCTGATGTGTTAGTATATAAGGTGAACCCTGTCAGTATCCATTATTCATGTGTATTAATATGTGAAGTGAGAGCACTGAGCGGGAAACATTGACTTTATATGGAGACAAATTATCATTTTATTGTTGAAAATGCAAGTAACTTTAAACTTTTGAGAAAAAGCGCGACTTTGATGTTAGCAAAGCCAGTCATACTGGTTGACAAATTAAAAATTAAATCGACATTTTACAAAATCGAACAATAATTATTGTCATTGAATGTAAACTTAACACGGATTTTTGAAGTTATGGTATAGTAACGGATAGGTTAAAGATGATGTCGAATTGATTCATATTTATATTTGTACAAGGTATATAAGCAAAACATGTACCTGATACTCTTAATGAACTAAAGGCATCGTGCTGAGATTCTGATGAATTATCTCATTCCAACGTCGTTTGTGGAACGTAGAAGTAGAAGCTGTGTAGATTCAAGTAGAAATCTACCTAAATAACTTTAGTTTTGATTACATATAATCATAGTCTGTTTCCAACTCGGTTATATGTTTCTTGTCGAAAAAAATAAGATTTACGGACAATTACACCAAAGATACTTTGTTGCTTCATATTTGACCCTTATTTTGCTTTTGTATATACCCGCGAAAAGCCGGAAAC